CTTCTGCAGGAATTGTTTCTTATTTTTCTTGTGCTGGTACTGGAGCTTGAACTCAGAGCCTAGGAGCTGTCCCTTCGCTTTTTTTCTCCCCCTCTCAAAACTGATTCTATTACTTGAGCCACAGCCCCACTTCCAGCTTCTTGGTGGTTAATTGGAGAAAAGAATTGCACAGACTTTCTTGTCTGGGCTGGCATTGAACCTCAACTCTCAAGTCTTGGATTCCTGACTAGCTAGGATTTCGGGCATCGGCTACCAGCATCTGACAACAGTCCCATCCTTCAGTGGAGTCTGTTTTTTGTGCCTCAGGTGTACAAAAGTCTGAGGTTCATTTTACATTTCCCCTGCCCACTTTTTTTTTTCTCATACCAGGGCTTGAATTCAGGAACTTGTACTTGCTTGGCTTGCCTTGTTTGCTGGTGTTCTATCACTTGAGCCAGCCCTAATTATTTGCTGGCTATTGTGGAGATGAAGTCTCTCAGACTGTTCTGCTCCAGTTCACTTTGAACATTGATCCTTGGATGACAGCCTCCTGATAACTGGGCTTGTAGGCAGATGAGCTGCTGGCACCCCACTTAATTTTATGCAAAAGTTTGTTTGGTGCTAGTCTTGGGGCTTGAACTCAAGGCTTGGGTGCTGTCCCTGAGCTTCTTTTGCTCAAGGCAGTGCTCTCTCACTTGAGCTAGAGCTTCACTTCTGGCTTTTTTGGTAGTTAAATATAGATAAGAATCTCAAAGAGGCGCTGGGAATGTGGCTTAGTAGTGGAGCGCTTGCCCAGCAGGCTTGAGGCCCAAGGTTCAATTCCTCAGTACCACATAAACAAAAAATAGATTAATTAAAAACTTTGGGGGGGGGGCTGGGAAGGTGGCTCAGTGGTAGAGCACTTGCCTTGCATGCCTGAGACCCTGGGTTTGATTCCTCAGCACCACATAAGAAAACAAAAAAACAAAAAACTTTTTTATTTGGGTCCGGTCATGGGGCCTGAACTCTGGGCCTGGGCGCTGTCCCTCAGTAATTCAGCTCAAGGCTAGCACTCTACCACTGAGCCACCTTTCCAGCCCTAAAAACTTTTTAAATCTGAAAGACTTTCCTGGCTTCAACCTGTGATGCTCAGATAGCCTCCTGAGTAGTAGGATTACAGGCATGAGCCACTTTACACTCCTAAAAAGCCATCAACAATCATGTTCTTGATACCCCCAGCATCCAAACTTCATTAAATGCATGCATAGGTGGGGTATAAACCTTTACTGACTGTCCACAGGAAGACTCTGCAGGTCTCCCAGGTCCCCAGTGACCATCCTGAGTGTTCTTGGCTCATGAAGATTTTGTGTGTGCTTTAAAAAAAAAAAATCTGGGCTGGGAAGTTGGCTCAGTGGTAGAGTGCTTGTCTTGTGTGCATGAGGCCCTGCACCACATAAGCAGAAAAAACTGGAAATGGTGCTGTGGCTCAAGTGGTGGAGCGCTTGCCTTGAGCTGAAGAGCTGAGGGACAGCGCCCAGGCCCAGTTCAGACCCCACGACCAATAAAAAAACAAAACAAAACTGTCCACATCCATCATGAGCCTTCATGACTTTGCCAATCTCTCCAAAGCCAGTTAGGTCTGAGCAGAACCAAAGGGAGCCAAGACAAGGCTGCATGGGCCAGCGCTGGCAGCCCCTGGGCTGCTCTGTTCCCTAGGGCCTCTGCTGGGCCGAGGCTGTGCTGGGGAAGGTGATCCAGGAGCCAAGGAGAGGGGGAGGGTGCCTCTGAGGAGAGCCCTGTGCCGTCCCTACAGGCCATGGCCGGCCGCGAGGAGCTGCACGCGCAGTGTGCCCAGAGCCTGCAGGAGAAGGACCAGCTGCGCAAGCGCGTCCGGGAGCTGGGCGAGAAGGCGGATGAGCTCCAGCTGCAGCTGTTCCAGTGTGAGGGCCGGCTGTTGGCCGCCGAGGGCAGGCTCAAGCAGCAGCAGCTGGACTCGCTTGTCCTGGTGGGCCTTGGGTGTGGGAGGCCTGGGGGGAATGGCCCTGCCTGGGGCGTGAGGGCATTCGGTGGGATGCAGAGGCCAACACATCCCCGAGAGGAACCACGTAGCGATGGGACGCCCACGGTTCCTGCCTGCGTGGCCAATGTCCCGCTGGTGGCCTCGGCAAGACCGTGGATCTTCCTGACCCCTTTCCCCGCTGTGGAGCTGACTCACTCTCACAAGTCCCCTCTGCATGGTGGGGTGAGGGCTGCAGACACAGCTCAAGGCCCAAGCAGCAAATGTGGTCAGGTGGTGGCCTGCAGGGGGCCTGGTGGGGTACAGGTGTCAAGGAGGACAGGCAGTCTGTACGGGGGTCCTAGTGTGGCTGACATATGGCAGGACTCCCTAGAGGGCAGGGCTGAGGCCCCCCCATACCCAGGCCGGCCCGGCCCAGACGCAGGACCCCACAGCCTGCTGATACGCTCCCTTTCCTGTGGCCACAGAGCTCTGACCTGGAAGACAGCTCACCCCGGAACTCCCAGGAGGTGAGTGTGGCCCCCCCAGGAGGGGTTGGCCTCCCCTGGACCACACCCCACACTTGCTTTCTCTCTCCTCCCCCCACCCCTGGTCCTGCTCTGGGTTGGTTGGAAGAAGAGCACTGGCCTGATTGCTTGGGGTAAACTAAGGCAAGCATAGTTGCTTCTGGCAGGAGCTTCATGGCCCTGCAGAGCTTTGATAGTGATGGCTGTGTCCAGCTGAGAGCCAGGAGACTGCACAGCTCAGGTCCTGCCTAGAGTAGGGCAGGGGCAGCTTAAGAACAGCCTAACCCCTGGCCTGTCTTGTCTTTGAAGCTCTCTCTGCCTCAGGACCTGGAGGACACCCAGCTGTCAGACAAAGGTGAGGGGTTTGCCCTCTGCATCACGGGGCAGAGCAAGGACATCGGACAGGCTGGGCATTGTAGTTGGGCTTGGTGGTTCATGCCTGTAACCCCAACATAGCCATTCAGGCTGCCACAGACACACAGTGTGTGTGGAGGTAGCCTGGGGCTGGAGAAAGGTCTTCTCTGAAGGGCTGGGGTGAGGGGAGGGGGAGGCCCAGTGGAAGGAGGAGGGACCCCTGGAAGGTTACATAGGAAACCAGACAGACTTCTGCAGCCAGGCCGACCTCAGCCTCTAAGCAGAGGCAAAAGGGGAAGAAGTGGCAGGAGATGCAGAAGTGAGGGCCTGGCCACCTGCCCCAGCCCCAAACACGAGAACTTGAGGCTGCTGAGCCCAAACGGGCACCCAAGAAGCCACCGGTGTCACCAAGGGAGGCTGGAGGGCAGGTCTGTATGGACACCAGGTCTGCGTGCACACCAGGTCTGCGTGCAGCTGGCTGCCAGCACCTTCCACCAAGGGACTGAGGACTGGTCTTCCTGGGGCCTCCACTGTGCTGCTCCCCCCCAGGAGCCCCTGTGAGGGGCTTGGCTCAACCTGGCCAGGCTTGGGGTCAGGATCCTTTTGCCAGCCCAGGAGGAGCGGGCAGGAGGGAGCAAGGGCTACGCTGGTGCCACCAGGTGGACAGAGGGGAGCAGGCCGGAGGCCCCGCAGCTGGCCCAGGAGGTGCGCCGCCGGGCAGGGGGCCGGGGGTCGCGGTGGGCAGGACCCACGGGCACAGCTCTCGTTTCAGGCAGCCTGGCAGGCCGTGAGAGCCCAGAGCAGCCCCTCGTGGCTCTGCAGAAGGTAAGGCTGCCCGGGGGCCCCTCACCCGGCCTCAGCGGCTGACCCCATGCTGGGAGCGACTCCCTCTGGACCCCTGGCCCCCGTGAGGCCCCCACGGCTCTGCTTGGAGGCCGCGGGCAGTGTTCGGAGCGCGGAGTCCCCCGCTTTCTGGGGCAGAGCCGCAGGTGTGGGGACTTGGGGGGTGCTGGGCGTCTCACCGGGACAGGTGCGCGCCGCAGCCGGCTGCCCAGTAGCGGGGTCCCGGGCGGAGGGTGCCCGGCCACTCGGGCCGAAGGGCGGCCCCAGGCGCAGTGGTCGAGGCCGGGGAAGGGCAGGGCGTCCACTCGCGGGCCTCTCCTTTGCAGGACGCGGGGCCGGGCAGCGGCGAGCCTCCGGAGAAGGAGCGGCGGCGGCTCAAGGAGAGCTTCGAGAACTACCGCAGGTGCGGGTGACGGGGTGCGGGCTGGGGGCGCGGCCCGCGCGCGCGCCCCCGCCCACTGCCGGCCTTTCCAGGAAGCGCGCGCTGCGGAAGGCGCAGAACGGCTGGCGGCGGGGCGAGGAGGACGCGGGCAACACCACGGGCAGCGACAACACCGACGCCGAGGGCTCCTAGCCCGCCAAGCCCCGCGCCCGCTGTGGGCTCCGCAAGCCTTGTACTCGCGCTGCGCGTGCAGCCCGCAAATAAAGTCACCGCCGAGCGCCGCCACTGCCTGTCCGGGGCGCGGGGGACACGGGGAGCGCGGGGGACGCGGGGCCGGGCGTCAGCTCTGCCTGTCTGGGGCGCGGGGCCGGGTGCCAGCACTGCCTGTCCAGGGTGCGGGGGACACGGGGGGGCGCGGGGGACGCGGAGGGCGCGGGGCCGGGCGTCAGCTCTGCCTGTCTGGGGCGCGGGGGACACGGGGGACACGGAGGGGGGGGCGCGGGGCCGGGCGCCGCCACGGCCTGTCCGGGGCGCGGGGGACGCGGGGGGCACGGGGCCGGGCGCCGCCACTGCCTGTCCGGGGCGCGGGGGGGCACGGGGCCGGGCGCCGCCACTGCCTGTCCGGGGCGCGGGGGACGCGGGGCCGGGCGCCTCCACTGCCTGTCCGGGGAACGCTGGGGGCACGGGGCCGGGCGCCGCCACTGCCTGTCCGGGGCGCGGGGGACGCGGGGGGCGCGGGGCCGGGCGCCTCCACTGCCTGTCCGGGGCGCGGGGGACGCGGGGGGCGCGGGGCCGGGCGCCGCCACTGCCTGTCCGGGGCGCGGAGGGCGCGGGAAGCGGCGTCACACCGCAGGGCGGCACCAGGGGGCGCTATAGGATGCGAGCGTGACGCCTCCGAGCGGAAGCCCAAAATAGGCGCTTCCGTCCACGTGCCCTCCTCCAAGATGGCGGGCTCGGCTTCAGCCGCGAGGGGCGGGGCCGGGGGACGCTGCCGGGATGTTGCGGATGGCGCTGGGCCGCGTGCCGGCGCTGCTGGGAGGTGCGCGGACCCGAGGGCCCGGCCTGAGGAGGCTGTGGGGCCGGGGGGCGCGCACGGAGGTCTCCAGGAGGCGGTGGGCCTGGGGCTGGCGGCGCTGCACCTCTGGACCGGGGCCCGCGGCGGCGCTGGGGCGCGTAGAGGCGGCGCATTACCAGCTCGTCTACACTTGCAAGGTGGGTGCACGTCGGGACCGAGCCGGTGCACCCGGCGCCGGGGACCCGGCTGGAGGGCGGAGAGGGGGGAAAGGGGTCTTCCTGGAGGGGCGGGGCCCGAGGGGAGGAGGCGGGGCTTTCCCGGAGGGGCGGGGCCCGAGGAGTGAGGGGCGGGGCCCGAGGGGAGGAGGCGGGGCTTTCCCGGAGGGGCGGGACCCGAAGAGTGGGGCGGATCTTCCCGGAGGGGCGGGGTCCGAGGAGTGAGGGACAGATCTTCCTGGAGGGGCGGGGCCCGAGGAGTGAGGGGCGGAGTCTTCCCGGAGGGGCGGGGCCCGAGGGAGGAGGCGGGGCTTTCCCGGAGGGGCGGGGCCCGAGGAGTGAGGGGCGGAGTCTTCCCGGAGGGCGGGGCCTGAGGTGAGGGGGGCAGAGTCTTCCCGGAGGGGCGGGGCCCGAGGAGTGAGGGGGTGGGGTCGCCCTGGGTGCGGTCTTCCCAGAGGCCTTCCTAGAGGCTGCCTGGGGGCGGGGCCTCGTGAAGGGGTGGAGCCTCATGAAGGGGTGGAGCTACCCCGTGGGCTCCTCGCCTGAGCATCCTCATTCTCAGCCAGGTCTGTGAGACCCGGTCCTCCAAGCGCATCTCAAAGCTAGCCTATCACCGGGGTGTGGTCATCGTGACCTGCCCGGGCTGCCAGAACCACCACATCATCGCCGACAACTTGGGCTGGTTCTCTGACCTGGACGGGAAGAGGTGAGACCGGCCCGCAGAGCCCGGGCTGTACCCCAGCACAGGCCCTCATTTTCGTCCAAGAGTCCATTCAGCAGCCCACGCCCGCCTCCCTGAGACACCTCACCCCGCTTGAGTTCTGGATCCTACCTGGGCAGCCCCACCATCTTGTCTGGACAGGACATGGATTTCAGATAGACCATGCATAACTTTGTGGTATTCTGTGGGTACCCTCCCAAATGTCTCAGTACACTTTAGGCCAACTGGGCTCCTCTTGGATGCTTCTGATGGTTTTGGTAATTTCTGGAGTGGATCTGTTCTGTACCCCATCTGTCAGGAGCTGCCCTCTTTGCCCCTGGCTGAGGGCTGGGGCCATACACTGTAACTTCTGTCTCCATGTCCTTGTGGCCGGGATGGGACAGGATGGGGCAGCTCCTGCAGTCCTGCAAGGTTGTCTGTTAATGCACTGCTGGGGCCTGGCCATAGTGCTGTCAGACCTGGGCTTCGAGAAGGGCCTGGAGGGCGGGCAGGCGTGGAGGACCACGGTGCCCCCAGCGGTGCTCCCAGCAAGGGAGATGGCAGCCTATGTTTGTTTCTTGGTTCCTGAGGTTAACCTTGCTTGCAGTCACGCAGGGAGGGGTTTGTGAAGATTCACACGGCTCTGATGCCACCTGCACCTTAGAAATTGCTTCTGGCTTGAGCTAGACATGAGGTGTTTCTCTTTATTTCTCTTTGTGCTGGTCTAGGGGCTTGAACTCAGGGCCTGGGTGCTGTCCCTGAGCTTTTTCACTCAAGGCTAGTGCTATACCACTTGAGTTACAGCTCCACTTCCAGGTGTTTTGCTGGCTAATTGAGGAGTCTCATAGACTTTCCTGTTTGGGCTGGCTTTGAATCATGATCCTTAGATCTCAGCCTCTTGGGTAGCTAGGATTACAGGCGTGAGCCACAGCACCTGGCTCATAGGATGTTCTTTAGGGGTCAAGTGTAGGGGTAATGCTGCCTCCCTGTCTGTTAGGAACATTGAAGAGATCCTGGCAGCCAAAGGGGAGAAAGTACGCCGGGTGGCTGGCGAAGGAGCTCTGGAACTGACTTTGGAGCCTGGGGGGGCTTCCAGCTCCCCCACTGCCCCAGAAGAGGGTGAAGGTGAGGATCCTGCCCACCCCAGCCAGACAGAGCAGAGATGACTTGCATGGTGCTTGCCTGTGGACTCCTGCCTTCCACAAAGATGCTTCCATCAGTCCCGGCCTCTCAGACTCTGCCTGCTTCTTGTCAGTAAACAAACGTCACCTTCATGCGCTGGGTCTGTCTGTCTTTCCTGGAGTCAGAATGACTCCCCCGTGACCTCTCTTTGTGGCTACAAGACCCCCTCCCCACTGCAGAGGTGTCATCAGTGCTTGCCTGCAGTGGGCCTGGGCAGGGGGTTGGCTGCAATTAGAGGATGTGTCGCCCGCTGTCCTCTGCCCCGCACAGGCGGCTCCTCCCCATGAACCAGGGCCAGCCTTGGCCCTGGTCCTCGGTCATAGCAAATTCCAGTGGCCAAGCAGAGAGGACTTGGAGCTGGGGCGGGGAGGGGTGTGTGTGGGGGTGTCTCTGGAGCTGCCTGATGGGCGGGGGTGGGGGGGTCTAACGCATTGGACAGACAGGCGAGTCCCCTGCCTTCCTCAGCCGTGTGTTCTGTCTCTGCTTTTGTTTGACTGGCCCTCAGGATGTTCCTGTGTTTAGGGAAGTGAGCAGACGCTGGACGGTTTGTTTCTAGAAGTGTGCTGGGCCGCGTGATCTTCAACATAACACCAGCGAGTCTGGGGGGGAGACCTGGGACCGGAGGGGGTGGGGGTGCCGCTGAGCAGAGCTGAGCCAAGCAGGACAGGGACACGATGTGGCTCCATCCCCTCGGGACCCTGCAGTGATCCCCTGCGCTGCCTGGCGTGGGAGGCTGCCTGTGTGGCTGCGTGCACCTCGGTCTGATTACCCCCTGTCCTTCCCTGGGCAAACACCCTGCTATTATTCCCACCCAGTGCCTCCTGTGCCATTTGTGGGAGCTGTCTTCCTGGAGGCTGAGCCAGCCCCCCGCCTCCGCCTGCTGCTCTGTGGAGGGCACCGAGGGCACAGGGACCAGCTGCAGTTTCCTGGGAGGCCAGTGGGCACAGGCTGGGCCCAGCCGCCTCTTCCCTGGGTCCTCTGACCGGACTGAATGGATCCAAGTTGGAGAAGCTGAAGCCTGTTGCTTGGATGTGTGTCTTTGCTGCATCTTCTTTATTTTCACCGTCTAGTTGTACAAAGGGTTTCAGTTCAGCACGTCAGGTTGAGCACAGTGCATCTTGATCGCTGCCAACCCTTCCGTCGATCCCCCTCTCTCCCAGCCCTCAAATTTCCTGGCACCATTGTCACATACGGACATTGAGTGGTATGAGGGCACTCGCCCACCCTTTCTGTCTCCATGTGTCTCCCCCCCACCCCCCTTCCCTGGGCCTTTTTTTTTTTTTTTTCTGTTTTCTGCTGCTCTACTTCTGGGGCTTCCATGTGGGCGCAAACCTGTGAGGGCCTCACTGCAAGCCCTGCCTCCCACAAAACACCCCGAGAGCCTGTGGGCCGGCCTGCTGTGGGTTCAAGGCTGGGCCGCTATTCCAGCTCTACGCAGCCGATGCTAGCCTGTTTCCCCCATGTCCTTCTCTGTGGGAACCACACCCCTGCGCCCCGCCAGCCCAGCACTGCCACGCGGCCCTGTGGTGGGGTGGGCGTGTCCTCCTCTGAGCACCTGCCTTTCCAGGGCAGCCGCCTCCTCCCGTTGGTCTCCCCACACCTGAGCAGCAACTGTCTGGAAGTTTGGCGGCTTCCTGGCCACCACACTGCCTCAGGCCTGTCCCCCCGTGGAGACTTCTGGGGCTGGAGCGGCGGCTTGGGCCTGGATTCTGCTGCCCCTCCCTGGGCTGCGCCTGTGGCCTCAGGCTGGGACTCTCTCTCCGGAAGGTCAGATCTGGGGTGTCTCACAAGCACCGAAGATGAGCCAGGCTGCTTGTCTGGACCAGCTGAATTGGGGTCTCCACGGAGGAGATTCCTGGCTGGGGCCCAGCCGTGTGCACAGCCACAGGGCTGGGGGCGGGGGGTGGGGGGGCGCAGGCCATGTGGTCAGCCACAGGACGATGCTTGCTGCTGCCTCATCTGACCTCTACCCTTTGTCCCTGGGCAGCTTAGACAAAGAGGGAGGGGCATGGAGACCAGTGGTGTTAGTCCTGGCTTGGGACCTGTGGGCTTTGGTGGGAGGGGACTGCGTAACCCCTGAGCCGCCCTGGGCCCCCTCTGGGAATTGGCAGGTGGGGCGAGGCTTCAGTGCTGGTAGGCACTGTGTTGAGGTCGGGGGCTGTGTTCAGGTCAGAGGAACCCTCTGGGCTCGTGTGTGTGTGTGTGTGTGTGTGTGTGTGTGTGTGTGTGTGTGTGTGCGCGCACGTGCCGGGGTGGGGAGGGGGAGAATCTATCCTGGCTTCCCCAGTACAAGTCCCAGCGGAGTCACATTCATTTGGCCGGGGCCCCTGGGGGACCCACCTCACCCCCAGTACAAGTCCCAGCGGGAGTCACATTCATTTGGCAGACTTTATTTTTGGGGGAAAACCAGAAACGTACCTCTCGGGTTGGAAAGGGCTGCTGACCACATGGCAAACGTGAGCAATAAATACCCATGTGCGTTCAAGTATGCGGTGACACCGGGTGGTGCTGGACGCAGGGTCCCTGCCAGTCTGGGGCTGGCCCTGAGGCGCCCTGCCCCTCCCGCTCAGGAAGTGGAGTGGGCACAGGCTGGAGGTGCTGCCCGTGGGTCCCTGCGTGGCCTGCCCCCTGGGGCTACACAGGTCCTGCCTGAGTCTTGGGTCCCACGTACGGTGCCCTGCAGCCAACTCAACACACACAGGGCCTGGACCCTTCCCTGGAAAGGCCATGACGCCCTCTCCCCTCACTGGCGAGGGTGCTGGGGGGTTCAGAGGGACCCAGTTAAGCTCAGTCCCTCTTTGGTGCCACAGTGCCCACTGCCGGCCTGGACCCTAGGGCCAGGCCCCATGTGTGTCCCTGGCCTCGGGGCTGGCCGAGCTGAAGGACTTGAGATACTGGAGCCTCTGTCCCCTCCCTCCTGCTCTGCAGACAGGGCCAAGCGCTGTGGCTTTAAGGCCCTCGGGGCCCAGGACAGCATACCAATATGGTGGGCACCTGCCTGCCCCACTGCCCTGTGGCTGCCCGGCAGCCGTGTCCTCAAGCTGAGGCAGGGCCTTGCTCTGGGGCCGAGGCAGAGGGCACAGAGTGGGCCTCCTGCATGAGCACCCCAGGACCAGCTGGGGACAGAACACACCCATGTCTCCAGAGCCCAAGAAGACTCCAGAGCCCCTGTGTGTGGCAGGGATGACCAGGGCAGGTTTTCACATTTGGTGGGGCAGGACAAAGCCTGGGGGGGGGGGAGGTCAGGTCTGGGCAGCACCGGGATGTGGGGTCAACATGCTGAGGGCCAGCCTGGCCGTGTGGAACGGAGCACACCCCCCTAGCATGGCGGCCCTGGCCTGCACCGTGCCGAAGGCAGGCAGATGCCCTGCGGGCTGCACACCCAGCACCCAGCTCACTAGGAAGGGCCTGGGCTCTCGTGGCCACCGTGGACCTGAGGCCCGGAGCGGGGGGCGGGCAGGCCTGGCTGTGGGTGGGGGAGGAAGGTCTTAGCTGGTGCCAGGCTGGCACTGCTGCTGGGGCTCGGGGGGCCCGCCGGGCCCGCCGGCCTCCTGCTCGGGGCTCCCGGAGAGGTCCACGCGCTGCTCGTCCATCCGCTTGGCCTGCACCCTCTGGATGAGGCTGAAGAAGTCCTCGTCCGGCATGGTGGGGCCCCGGGGCAGCACGTCGGGCGGCGGGCAGCGCTGGTCATCAATCCTGGAGGACTGGACAGATGTGTGCAGGACGGTGACCCGGGGGGCCTGTCCTGGAGCCCAGTGGTCAGGGGGCCCCCAACAGCCCCAGGGCAGTGGCCTGGGCCCCAAAGCGGGCGACTTCTCTGATCTAGGTGAATCTAATCGGGCCATCTCGGGCCTCCTTGTGTCTACCTGCCTGGCCCCAGGGTAGAACTGCGTTCCGATACCTCCTGGGGTCTCACCCCCCCCCCCCAAGAGTTTGGGACTAGTCCACACAAGAAAGTCCAAATGATACCTGCTGGTTGGAACAAGCCAGGCCCAGGAGACTGGGTCCGCCCTAGCCCGCCCCAAAGCCTGCCGACCCCCAAGGACTGGCTGAGCGCAGTGGTCTCAGTTTGGCACCTGAACCCGACGCTGCCCCCAGACTGACCCCGGAAGCTCCAGCCCCGGCCGCGGGGAGCACCCCAGGGTCCTGTGAGGGCCAGGCGGCCCACTGCCCCTGCCTGTCCTGGCACAGAGGCCGGGCGGCCCGGGTGTGCCCGGGCTCCTCGGAAGGGCCTGGAGCAGAAGGGACGGGAGCTTGTGCAGTCGCCGGCGCATGCGTGCGAGTGGACGGGGGGCTCTGGGCTTCTTGGGAGGGGCTGGCTTAGAGGCAGCTCTCTGGATGGCTGACCCCGGGCTGTGGTTTGGTCTCCTCTGTGGAACGAACATCAGATCTGGAACTGTGCCGCTGCTGGCAGCCGGCGTAGCTGTAGCCACCCGACCCCAGCCTCGCTACCGCGTCGCCTGACCCCAAACCCCACGACGGCGTGCCTCCCCGTCTGGAGGCCACTGGACCGCGCTTCCGGTCACCGCCCCTCACCCGCCCCACCCTGCTGGCCCTGCTCTGGCTTTGCGTCTGCCCTTGCTTTCCGCCATCGTGTGGGTCCTCAACTGAGCGGCGGGGACCTTGGCTTCCTCTGCCCAGGCGGGGGAGCTGCGTGGGACCCGCAGCCCCACACCGAAGGAGGTGGCCACCCGAGCCGCGGCGTCCCAAGGCCGCCGTCTTGGCACCTTCCCTCTGGGGAGGGGAGGGCTAGCCTGAGCACCTGCTGAAGTCCAGTGGCTGGCTGGGCATGGCCTGAGACGGAGGGACTGACTCACACTGGGAGCCCCCCCCCCCCCCCCCCGCCTTTGGCGACGGCCCCCGCGCCTCTCAGATCCGGGGCCGCCCCTCCCAGGCTGCAGGCGCACCTGGTACTTGATGAGCATGTTGAAGAACTCATCCCCGGGCTCCTGGGGGTCCCCGTCACCTCGGAGGTGGCCCACGTTGTTGTGGGTGATCCGCAGCCCGGGGAGGCTGCCCACGCTGGCCCGCTGGTCATCCAGGCGGCGGCTCTGGGAGCTGGCGATGAGGTCGAAGAACTCCTCGGTCTGCGGGGAGGCTGTCATGGACGGCTGAGCTGCAGGGGTGGGAGGCAGAGGGGGGCGCTGGAGGGGCTGCCCGGCCAGCCCGGGCAGGGGGGTGGGGAGCTGGAAGTGCTGGTCTCTGAGGCCAGCTCAGCCTGATGAATTCTTGGGGACACAGGCCCCGGTGGCCCCGGGGATGGTGCCCACATCCACCTCCTGGGTTTCCAGGAGGTGACAGGAGAAAGCCTGGCCTCCCACATGCTGGAGGCAGCCGTGCGCCCATGCGTGCTCCAGAGGGCGGGATAATTACGCGCTTCCCGGGATGCAGCGTGGGGGTTCGTGGGGGGCTGCTCCCGGGAGGGGTGCGCCGCAGCTGGCCTGTCACGGCTTGTCAGGGGCAGTACTGAGAGGCCACGGAGGGGGGCGGGGGATGTAGGCCCTGTCCCTCCCCCGCACTCACCCGCCCTCTCCTCTGGGGAGGGGGCAGCGGTGGCTTCTGCAGCCCCCTCCTCTAGGGGACAGCGCTGGTCATCCATGCGGCTGCTCTGGAGCTTGCTCAGCAGGTCAAAGAAGCACTCCTCGTCGGAGGAGGGGGCTCTGGGGACGCTCTGCAGGGCACCGGGGGGTCAGCGCAGCCCCTCGGCTCCCAGACGCCATCCCTGCTGCCCGGGCGCCCCGTGCCCACACCCGCTCCACGCCCCTGCGCCGCGGGCCGGGCCTCAGCACCCCCGTGCCTTACACTGCCCCTGCCTGGGCCTGCCTCTCCCGTTTTCAACCTAAGCGACCCCTGGCTGACCCCCGGCCACTCCCCCTCGAGGGCCTGGCAGCCTCCACCTAGTCCACCTGAGCATGGCGCTGCTCAGGCCGCAGGCGCGTGCCTGGGCGGGCAGCAGGCCTGGCCAGCCATGGGAGATTCGTTGCGGTGGCCGGCCAGACCACAGGGACGGGCAGGTCAGGGCTCCTATGTTCTTCCTTCTCTGTCTTTGGGAACACAGTTATAAGGCCCTGGGCCAGCAGGCAGGCCCAGGGGGCAGCAGCCAGTGAGCCCAGATCCTGGGGTGTGAGAGGGAGCACTCACACCACCTCCCCCTACCCTGGTGAGGCTGGAGGGCAGAGCCTGGACCTCCACATGCGGGAAGAAGGGGCAGAAGGCGGAGTCCACGGGCAGCTGGAAAGTCCTCAGAATGACGGCTGCCCTCCTGCCCAGAGCCTCTGAGAAGCTGGGGCTTCCTGCTATGTGGGGTCCCTGCCTCCGGGGTCTGGCCAGCCCCTCCCTGCATTCCCACAGACAGTGCCGGGACCTGGGGCCCTGGGCGGATGGGTGGCAGCAGGAACTCTGAGCGTGGCTGTTGGGGAGTGGGCAGCTGGGCAGGAGTTTAATCTGGTCTCTGAGCAGGGGCTAACTCAGCCCGGAGTGGACCACTGAGGCACAGGCCGGCCCCCCAGAGGGGTCTGCATGGGAGTGGGGGTGCTCTGAGACACACGATTGTCCGAGGAGGGGGCAGGATGGAGGTGGAGACCCTCGGCCTCTGAGCCCAGGTGCCAGGCGACCTTGGTCAAGCTTGACCCGTCCGGGGCCTCAGTTTACACATCCATGGTCTCCTGGGAACGCTCAGGGCCAGGGTCACCACAGGCCCACTCTGCCTCTGTCTGCCTCTCTGGGGCCTGCGGGCCATGTGGGTAGGGTGTGCTCTGGCCTGCCCGCCTGCCCGCCTGCCCCAGCCGGCCACTTGGAGATGACTGGAGGCCTCAATGGACCACAGACCAAGGCCACCCCAAGTGCCCAGTGCCCAAGACTGCCCCACATGCAGGGGCCGTGTGACCTGCCAAGGCCAGCAGACCTGGGACCTTGGTGGAGGACTGGTCTCAGCTCTCTGAAAGCAGAGGTCCCAGCAGAGGACGCTGCAGGCAGGGCAGGCAGGGCACATCTGTGGGGAGACCCCACTGGGCTCCGGGCACTCAGGATGAGCCTGGGACCCCCCAGGATGTGTCCCTCTGCATGGGAGGTCTGGCACCGAGCCTGGCAGGCGCTGCGGGCCCAGGCAGAGGTGGCCAGAGGGGCTGGCACCCCACGGAGACCCATGGGATTGCGCTGGAGTCCCCTCCATCTGCCCACGCTGCGCCCCAGCCCGCGGCCCAGGCCTGCCTGCCCCGGGCACGTCCCTGGGCTGCTGAGCCACAGCAGCTTTACCCTGAGGACCCTCCTGGACCCAGCCACCTCGGGGCTGAGGCTGGCACCTGTGTCCCCATGCCCACGGCTGTCCCGTCCCCGAGCCCAGAGCCCCCTCCAGCAGCAGGTACCCCTCCTGCGTGAGCCGGGCCCAGCACTGCACAGGGAGTGCCGGACAGCCGGAGGCGGCTCAGTCCCCATGGCGGGAGGATCACCTTGGGGGCCTAGACACAGCTTCCTCTGTGGGGAACACCTCCCCTCCCCCAAGTCCTGCCTCCTTCCCCCTTGAAGCTCTGAGTTCCTGCTGAAGTCTGACCGTAACCTCTTCTGCTTTAGTGGAAGCCTGGCAGCTATGGTGCTGGCTGGGACCACACCACCTTGGCCAAAAGGGCCCCAGGGCCCCAGCCTCCGCTCTGCGGGGACCCACACTCACGCGGGATCACGGGCTCTTCCAGCAGCAGCAGTCAGGAGCTCGGCGGGGCTGTCAGCCACGTGCAGCCCAGGCAGGATGCCAACGGGCCCCGCGCGGCCGCCGCCACCTGCCCGGAGTGCCAAACGCCGCCCCACTGCCACTGCTGGGAACTACGGTGTTTGCCTGACACTTAAATAGGAGCCAGGGTGAGGGCTGGGCCCTCTCCTCCCAGCACCGCCCCCGCCCTCGCTCCCTGCCTCTCCTCTCTCTCTCTCTCTCTCTCTCTCTCTCTCTCACACACACACACACACACACACTCCATAAACACAGAACTGGATCCCGAGCTGAGCTCCAGCAGCGCCCCCTCCACCAGTGGGTGGTCACGCTGTGCCGTGGGGGCGGACAGCTGATTTGAAAGTCTGCTTCCCGCCCCGTGCCTGGCCCTGGGCTTCCTCCCAAGGCAGGGCCGCAGGAGGGGAGACGCTGCTCTTCCTTCAGCTCAGACAGACTCGTCCTTGTCCTTCTCCTGGCCTGGGCAGTGTGGCCCAACCCCTCCCCTGGACGGGGCTGGGCCACCTGCTGACGGTGGCTCTGGGCACCGGCGGGAAACGGAGGCTCACCTCAGTGCCCTCCATGGGGCCTGCCCTAGCACTCGGAGAGGAGGCCTCCGCGTTCCCAGCATGCCACATGTCTTCCTGTGATGGGAGCAGCCCTGGGTGCGGGGAAGGGTGGGCTGCAGGCAGCCTCCTGGCACTAAGAATACCTGGTGTGCCCACGCCCGCCCGGCTGGGAGGTGGTTAAGGGGGGGGCACGTTTTAGGTGAATTTCTAGGCCCTTTGCGCCCAGGTGCGCTGCTCCAGGGCCCAGTGCTGATCTCTGACCCTGGACTCAGTCTCCCTGTGTCCCTGGACCCTCACCCTGTCTGGGCGCCTGGAGACACCAGCCCTGAGCACAGGGGCCGTGGGCCCGTCCCGCCACGGCTGGTCCGTGTCCCTCCCCCTTCCATTCGCACACCTGGCCATCCGCCCGTGTCCCCGTCTCCACCTCTAAGTGGTAACAGACACTGCGTGGGGCCGTTTGCACGTGGGGCAAGGAGGGACCCCACCCCCGGCTCTGCAGCCATGCACAGACACCCCAGCAACACGTTGGCTGGTCTGCTCCGGGGCCCCTCCCCTGCACCACGGCACGTGGGCAGGCTTGAACCCGCGGCACCGTGGCTCCTGGAAACCCCCAGGGGCTGCTGGCTGCGGCCTGCCTCAGGAGCTCCTGCTGGAGGGGCCTGAGCCCCGTGCCAGGCTGCCATCTCCTCCAGCCGACCCTGCCCTGGCACACCCCAGCTCCAAAGGGCCGAGGAGGGGCCTTGTCCGGGGGCGGGGCTGCCGGCCGGGCTCTGAGCAGGGGTAGCCAGGCCCTCCTGACCCACACACAGGTCTGGGGGCCAGGGAGGGGGCCAGGGGCAGAAAGCGAGGCCACCTGAGCGCTGGGGGTACTAGCCCCGACTGGTGACAGGATGGAAACAAGCCCACTTGGAACAGAAAAACCCACCTGAGTGCTCCTGGGAGCTGGCCCTGAGTGCCAGGCCTGGGGCGGGGGGCAGGGGGGGGGGGCGGAACCGGCGGAGGGGCCCTCGGCCTCCCTGAGCAGCCAGGCCTGGCCTGGCCCCCGGGGCTGGCTGAGGAGAGGAGCCACCTACCGAGCGAGGCACCTGCACCCGGACATCGGCGCTGTCCAGCGGGGAGTGGCTGCCGTCCCAGGGCCGCCTCTCAGCAGGGTCCAGCCCTTCCTGGTACTTCCTGCTCCTCCCGGGCAGCGGGAGCGCGTCCCTGCCCAGTCCCTGCCAGTCCCCTGGTGGGTGGGTATCTCCATTCTGCTCCTGAGAGGGGGAAGCAGGCTGGGCGTGGGCGGGGCAGTTCTGAACCGAGGGCCCGTCCCAGGCCCCCAAAGAGAAGGCCGGGCAGGTGCCGGAGCCATGGCGGCACGGACCATTGGTGGGGGCTCAACCGCCTGGAGGGAGCCAAGGGCTTCAGGGCCATCCGTGCTGTGGGCTGGGGCTGGGGCGCTGTGGATGTCTGAGGGTGCAGGCCTGTCCGTGCGCTGGGGATGCTGACCTCCCCAAATGTCAACCTCACACTAGGCAATGACAATGACTGGGTGTCCCTGGGCCCATGTGAGACCCCAAACCAATGCTAAACTGGAGGAACCATAGGTTCAGAGAGGTCAGCACGCTGCCTTGGGGTAACAGAGCACCCACTCTTGCTGTGATGCTTGCTGACCCCCTAGATTCGCCTGGGGCTTGCTACACCCCCACCAGCTCCTCCACCAGGAGGCTTTGCCTCCTCCTCAGCCACAGGGTCTGGCGGGTCCACCAAGGCATGGGGGCCGATCAGGGGATGGGAAAGGTCCCGCCATTCCCTGGGGACACACAGCTGGCAAGAAGCAGGGGATGTGGGGGAGGCGAGGCTGGTGGCAGATGGACCAACGTAGGGCTGCAGTCCACTGAGAACATTTGTCTCCTAGTGCGCGGGGCCGGGCGGGCAGATGCCACACATTGAGGCCATTAACACGCTGCTCACAGTAGACAGCGCCACTGAGGGTGCTGGTCCCCACCTGAGCCATCTGCCCCGGCCCAGCTCCCCTGCAGCATGCCCCCCCCCCACCAGCTCGGCTCCCCACCTTGGCCCGGTTCCCCTGCAGTGCCCCCCCGCAGCTCAGCTCCCCGGCCATGCTCCCAGCTCCCCGCCACCCCCCCCCCCCGCAGCTCGGCTCCCCGCCCCGGCCCAGCTCCCCTGCCACGCACCCCCAGCAGCTCGGCTCCCCTCCCCGGCCCAGCTCCCCACCCCAGCCAGACTACCCACCCCAGCCCAGCTCATCCCAGCCCTGTCCACCTACCCCAGCCTGACCCCCCACTCCCCCCCTCCCCGCCCGGCTCCCCTGCCCTGGCCCAGCTCCCAGCTCCCCCCCCCGCCCCTACCCCCCCGCAGCTCGGCTCCCCTCCCCGGCCCAGCTCCCCACCCCAGCCAGACTACCCACCCCAGCCCAGCTCATCCCAGCCCTGTCCACCTACCCCAGCCTGACCCCCCACTCTCCCCCTCCCCACCCGGCTCCCCTACCCTGGACCAGCTCCCCCCCAGCCCGCCCCCCCCCGCCTGCGCAGCCCCCCTGCCCCCGCTCAGCTCACCCGCTCCAGGGGCAGCCTCAGCAGGTCCCAGGTCTCAGCACTCAGCCGCTGTGTCCTCTTGGGTCTGGCCCCTGGGAGACAGCAAGACAGGGTCAGTGGTGCCGGCCAGCGGGCCCAGGTTGGAGCCCTGGGGGCTGAAGGTGTGGCAGCCCACGCCGCAGGAGCCAGCAGCTCACAGCAGCGACCGCAGTGCTGTGTCCAGTGTCCCTGGGCTACACTGGGGTGGCCGGGGGGGGGGGGGCGCGAGGCTAGGCCTGACTGAGAGCGGCCTGGGGGGTGACTGCGGGGCTCCCGGCACTGGGTCCTGTCCAGGCTCTTGACTACTCCCGGTGCCGCCTGCAGCCTGTGCATTCCTCCTGCCCGCATGCCCCGCACATACCCCGGCACACCTCGCAGGAGCAGCCCTGATCCCGACCTCTGGCTCCGCTGCAGCCGCCAGCCCTTGCCGCGAGCCCTTGGCAGCCCTGCAGTGGGACCCCAAACCTCTGTTCCAAACATGTCCCTGGAGGCAGGCACAGTTTAGCCTGCTCCCCCCGTACCAAGTGCTAACACAGGCAGCACCTGGACAGAAGGTCCAGGGAGAGCCGCTGGGCAGGACCTGTCTGCACAGGGAAGCCAAGGCCAGCCACCAGACTGGGCCGGAGCTGGGGGGTGAAGAATGACAAGCCAAGGCCCCCGTGGCCGTGGGCAGCACTGGTCTCAGAGGAGGAGGCTTGAGATGGAAGAGCAGAGCCAGCCAGGCAAGGGACAACACGCCAGGCAGGGGGCAGGAACTGGAAGTGCCGGGCAGCCGGGACCTCCAGGCTCTGCCCTGTCCGCAATGTGCCCTGTGCATCTCCGGGGAGGCCCAGGCCCCCAGGGCCCCGCCCCGCAGAGGAGAGCAGCGGGGCGGGTGGGTGGTGGCTGTCTGAGACTGGGAGTCAGGGAGTCCATGCCTCAGCTCTGACCTGGGGAAGGGGTCCTGCCCAACCCGGCCCCTGCTGCTCTTACTGCAGATGAGAGGGCTGGGGTATGGCTGTGGTGGCTCTGGATGGGCCAAGCTGTTATCGTGATGGCATGAAGACCCACGCCAGACCCAGTTGCCAGCACTCCCAGCCTGTCCATGCTCTCAGTTTAAACAGTGGGTGTCCTGAAAAGATGGTTGTGTAGAGAGAACAAGAACAAGGACCTGGGATCCCAGGGTAGCCCCAGGTAGCCAGGGGGCTGCCTCCCGCCTGCTGACGCCAGACAAGCCCCAGGCAGAGGCCTACTCGTCACAGTCAGGCAGTGACTCAGGGCAGGACGATGGGAGGGGACGTGGGGGTGGTTGGGACTCCTCTTGCCTGGGGCGCGAAGGAAGCCAGCTCTGTGTCCCAGTGGCCACGCCGAGGGCAGGGCCGGGCGTCTGGGCGGCGCAGGCCGGTGTGAGCGGAGCACCCGGGGCAGGGCCGGCCACTGCTTCCGAGCTTTCCACACGAGCACCCCAGATCCGGGCTGTCTGCCCCACCTCGGCCATCCGTGTGGCTCCGAATTGGCCTGCCCATCAGGCACTGGGAGGCGAGTGGCTGAGGGGACAGCACGGATGGGGGCCAGGGGTCCTCGATGCCCACTCCCAGGCTAGGAAAGCAGGTCTGAGGAAGAAACGACATCACCACCCCAAACCGCACAGCGCGCATCCCTCCCCACACGGGCACGCTGCGGGTCACTGGGGGCAAGTCTGCTCCAGGGGCCGCCGGGCCTCCACTCACCAGACCCCGGGACAGCCCACTCCACCCCGCACGGCAAGCTGGCACGGGCCTGTCTCTTCGCAGCCCCTGGGAATCCCGGGGGCAAGACTCGGTTTCCCACCTCGTCTGGGCCTTCAGTGCTGTCAGAGGCTTTGAGCCGCCTGCCGCCCTCACCGCGTCCCGGCTGTGCAGAAGCCTGGACGCCCTCTTGCGCGAGGCCTGACCGCCTGGCTGCGGGGTGGAGGCCTGCTAGGCCCAGCTCAATGCACCCTCTGTCTGGAAGGAGCCTCAGGCCCCGGTCCTCTGGCTCTGTTTCCTGTCCCTCCCATCAAGGGCAAGTCCTGGAAACTTCCCTGGCACAGCCCGCCCCCTCCTGAGTTGGACAGTCGCATGGTCAGCAGCTATCAATAGTTTCTGACCTGGGGGGGTACCTAAGCCTCCGGGCCAGCCTGTCCCGGCCAGCCATCCCAGGGGGCGCCCCTCGCCATCCTCGCCCCTCCAGGACCTGTGTCTCCCCCGGGAATGTCCCTCCTGTCCCTCCGTGTGCCACGATGCAGCTTCCCCCAGCCCTGGGGCTGCTGGGAGCCAGCTCCCTCCCAGATGCACTGCACCCCTGCTGCATGGTCCCCCCCGGCTCCTCCCCCAGACGGAACTGCGCCCAGTCCCACAGGTGGGGTACTGAGGCACTCCCAGATGCCCCTCCACGCAAGCACCTGACCCAGAGGTGGCAAAGGGACCCAAGGGTGTGTGTCCCGTGGGGCCTGTGCCAGGGCAGCCGTGGGCAGGGCCCAGCAGGCGGAGGGTGTGCAGAAGGTCCTGAGCGAGAGCGGGAGGGCATGCTGTGGGAGGAGGGCGGCCCGGAAGCTGCACAGGGGTGCCTCTGTCCCCGAAGCAGGCGTGGGAGCTGTGCTGAGAAGGAAGGCCGGCGGAGGGAGGCTCGGCCAGCAGCGCTCTGGCCCCCGTCACGTGAAATCCATGTGTTCTCTCAGGAAGAGGCGCTCCTGAGTCCTGGGCACCTGCCTCCCACCCGGCTGGCGCCAGCCCCGACACTGACCAAGCCACACCGGGGCACACCACCCCCCCATGCGCACAATGATGCCCAGCCCACTGCCCACTGGGACGTGCATGAAAATCCCACATCCACTAGGCCCTGCCCCGGCCGCGTCCGCACCACACCAGCGCCTCCCCGCCTCCTCCAGCTCACCCTCCCAGCCCAGGAGCCTCTCCCCCACCCCAAGCCACACGGGACGCATATCTGTCCATCTGGGCTCTGGAAAGACATCTGTCCCTCACCAGCTCCACGAGACAGATTCCAGAAGACAGGCACAGTCCGGGCAGGACCAGCTCAGTACCCCCCAGGACAGGTGAACAGTGTCACCTGTGGGAGCCCTCAGTGGCGGAGAGTCCAGACTCCAGTGTCCCCAGGCCCTGCTTCCGCTGGCTCACCAAGGCAGGCATCGCCCTCAGGGCTGCCCGGACCCCCGGGGCACAGGTCCGCCTTCAGCAGCTGCATCCCGCCAGCCCCGCCGCCCTGCGCCACGCCCCGGGGGGGGGGGGCTTCCCAGCAGGCCAGGCGGCCCGGCCTGCCGTGGGAGGCTTCCGGGAGCACGGCTGGGAGGGGTCAGGCAGGGCCGAGCGGGGCGGCCAGTGCGGGAGACAGAGCTGCCTTGTCCCGGGCCGCTCTCCCGTGCCATGCCCCCCTTTCCCTTGGCTCAGAGAAGAGGAAAGAGTCAAGAGGACACAAAGCTGGCCGCCTCTGCGGGAGCCTTTGCAGAGCTGCCTGCTCTGGCTGGGGGACGCAGGCTGGGGGCTGCGCCAGGGCTCCGCAGAGCCACCACCCTGGGGACATCCGGGGCCGGGCAGAGCTGCGGCCGGGCAGATGCTGCCCTCCCTTCCCCCGGTCATCATGGAGCCCCTGCTCCTGGGGTGGGGTGGGGGGCAGAGGCCATGCCGCTTCTCCTCTGTCCTCAGTACTTCAACTAGGGCCTGGTGAGAAATGCCAAAGACCCATTTCCACGCCACCCCTCCAGGCTGGGGTCCCGGGTCGCTCGTGGTGGACCGATCCCTCCGGCCGACCCTGGAGGCCAGGGAATCAGCCACGGGGACTGGCTCCACTGTGGCAGTCCTAAGATCCAGCTGGCACCCTGCCCCCTGCCCAGGTCTGCCCGCCGCCCCAGGTAGCCAGCTCAGCATGGCATCCCTCGCCTGGCCCCCTCTCTCGTAGGTATTAATGTATTTGCTTTGCAGGGAACATTCTGTCCCTGTGTGTGGTGCTGCTGACCTGCATGGAGGACCAACAGGCTGTGAAGGAGGTCATTATGGCAGCCGCAGCCTGGACCTCCCCAGCTTAGTACCCCAGGCAGGCCAGGCCCCTCTCCCGGCTCCGGCAGCCCCTCCCACGCTGGCCCACCCTCACGGGATGGCTTGGGGGGGGGGCGGCGGCGGCTGGACCAGGCCAGGAGATAGCCACAGGCCCTGGGTGGAGAACCGGCCTAGGCTGACTGCGGTTCAGCAGTCACCACACCTTTGCCCACGGCCTTGAGCCCACTGAACGTCAGTTCCTGTCCCGCCTCCTCACCCTGACTCGCCTGTGTGCGCCCCCGGGCCGTATCCGGTTGCCAGGCCGTGACCCCAGGAGCAGGGCAGGCGTATGTCTGGGCCTATGCCATGCTGGGCAGAGGGGAGCCACACGGCCTCGGGGCCACCCCTCCTCTGGCTGCTAGCTCCAGGAGTGCCTGCGTTTGGCAGAAGCTGCCTCCTGTGCCCTTCACCCCGAGCCAGCACCCAGCTGAGGCCCTGCCAGTACTAGCCCCCCCCTATAAAAAATGGCCCCCGGCCCAGCCCTGGGGACTCACCCTGGGCCTCATAGCCGGCGAGGTCAGGCTTCTCGGTGGCGGCTGGGCTGGTCAGGCGGCCCAGTGCCAGCTGTAGCTGTGCCACGTTCACGCGGGCGGTGAGCTCCCCGCTGCGGTCCCCAATCTACAGCGAGGAGGGTCAGGTGAGTGGGCGGTGCTGGGACGGCTCCCACGTCAGTCATGAGTCCCTGTCCCCCAGGCAGCCTATGTTGACCTCTGGCCTCTGAGAGGACGCAGGTGACCCCTGAGGGGGTCTGTCATCTCTGGGGGGGTCTCCTGTCATCTCTGGGGGGTCTCCTGTCATCTCTGGGGGTCTGTTGTCTCTGGGGGTCCCTGACAGGACCTAGCCATATCCAGAAGTGCTCAGGGTCCCTGGCAGCTTGGTCTCGTGTCCCGTGGTGCCCCCAGGTGGAAGGTCAGCTCAGCCCTGACACAGACCCCTGGGGCCGGGTCTCCCACTCAGACCCCATCAGTCTCAGGCTCCCGCAGGGGCCTCCTGGATGCCTGCATTACCAGGTGGCCTGATGGCCAGGGGGCTTGGCGGGCTCTGGAGGCCTGCCCCTGGCAGGGGTCTCCAGGCAGCGCCTCCTGACCCCCACCTTTGCTGGGGTCCCCCACGTGGAGTTGGCATGGGTGGCGGAACTGGCCTGTCCATGCTAGGGGAGACCAGGGCTACCTGTGGTGACCCCGCCTGCCCACAGGAGGGTTCTGGGCCAAGGATGAGGAGGACACAGCTTTCCCGGATGAAGTCCAGCTGAGGGGTCTGAGGAAGCCCCCAGGGGGCCACCTCTAGAGGGCACAGGCACCCCACGGCCAGCCTGGCTGAGGTCCATAAGGAGTAAGGGCAGGGCACTCAGTAGCTGTGGGTCTCCCACAGAGCACTAAGACTAGGAGTGCACGGTGGGCTCCTGTCTTTGCCCATGCAGACAGTGGAAACTTGGCCTCCACGGGACGGGGCTGCTGGGCGGGGGACGAGGGGTAGTACACGGGACTTCAGGCGGAGGACCGGGACTCACCTCCTGGGAGATCTGCAGGTGCTTCTTGGCAAAGGTCAGGGCCTGTGCTGGGCTCCCCATGGACACATAGGCATTCCCCAGACTCCAGCATGCCCGGCCCTCGCCCACCCTGTAGGAAGGGAGACAGTCCACGTCCACCCTTGCCACGCCTGCCCACTGTCCCAAGCTCGCTGGTGTGGGTCCTCTCAAGACCCCATGCGTAAGAGGCACTGACTGGACAGCACACGCTCTCTGCCGTACTGACCCTGTCCCCACTGTCCAGGACCGCCCACACCTGGCCGCCAGCAGGGAGAAGCCCCAAACAGCTGTGTTCTTTTTTTCTTGCCAATTGTGGGGCTTGAACTCAGGGACTGGGCACTGTCCTGGGCTTTTGCACTCAAGGCTAGCCCTCTACCACTTTGAGCCACAGCACTGCAGTGGCTAATTGGTTAATTGGAGGTAAGAGTCTCAGACTTTCCTGTGCAGGCTGGCTTTGAACCGTGATCCTCAGATCTCAGCCAGACTCCTGAGTAGCTGGGCTGACAGGCGTGAGCCACCGGTGTTCAGGCCTGTATTCTTTTTCCTATCCTGTCATGAAGTTATCTCAGAACCCTTAGCCTGCAAAGCGGCCTGCGAGGAGACACGTCTGCCCTCAAAGAGGTTTTTCTGGGCCATCCATGGCGGGCAGGCAGAGTATCAGGCACCAGGCTTATGGCTAGGCTTGCCCCCTAGTGGCTGACAGAGAAATCTCCCTGAGCGTCCTCCACTCCCAGAACAGCAGCCTCAGGCCTGTCCATCTGTCTTTCTAGGGATGACATTTACGTAGAAAAGGGGAAAGCACATTGGCCTGGGGTCCCTGTGTCCACACCGAGCCTCTGGTGCTGCCCAGTGACGGGGAGGCCATGCTGCGTCCGCCAGGCCTGGCTGGGCCTGCCGGCGGTGCCCACGCACCTGTCCGCCAGCTCCTGAGCGATGACCAGGTGCCGCAGGTGGTACTCAGCCGCGCGCTCGTAGTCCTGCAGCAGCGTGTAGGTGTTACCCAGGCTGTAGCAAGCCTGCGCCTCCACCGCCTGGTCCCTGAGCTGCCGGGACAGCTGCAGCGTCTTCCTGCACAGAGTGCCAGGGTCAGTGCCGTGTCCACGCTCGGCGGGGGCAGGCGAGGGTGGGAGGTGCGGGGAAGCCTGGCTGGTGGTCTCCAGCCCAAGCCTAACCCCCTGCCCAGGGCTCTGCAGGCCTGGCTGCGTCCCCATACTCCGGTGCCCCCGGCACCACGTGCACTCCCATCCCGTGGGCTTTGAGGAACACCAAGTTCTCAGCACCCTGAGCTGCTATTTCCCCCCAGGCAGCCCAGGACACTGGGGCCCAGGACTCAGGGCCTGAGATAGGACCCGGTCGTGAGGACTCAGCTCCTGGAGGCTGGTGCTCAGGCCAGGAGGGAGATGGCCCACGGCGGCACAACTTCAGGAGTTTCATCTGTTTGCCCTTCAGAAGGGAGGACCGAGGCGGAAAGACCCCTCCCGCCCGGGCCGGGCTCCAGCCCCCAGGGAGCCTCCCTCCCTGGGGGTCGGGGCACTGCCTACTTGTAATACTCAGCAGCCACGTCGAAGCGGCCCAGGAAGATGTGGGCATTGCCCAGGTTGCTGTAGGCTCTCCTCTCGGCTGCCTTGTCTCCGAACTCCTTGGCGATGGCTAGCCGCTGCAGACACACCCGAGCCCCAGAGGGTCGTGAGCGGCCCGGCTACGTGGAGGGGGGCTGCCTCCCTGCGCAGGGCAGCCAGAGCAGACCACGGACCCCCAGCACCAAGTGTCCATGGAGCCAGGGGTGGATGGGGCACCCCTGCTCCCCCATGGTCCTCTGTCATTGAAAACGAGGGGTCACCTTGGGCCCAGCCCCACAGGGCCCTGCCACTGCCGCGCTGGCCCGGCCTGGCTCACCTCCTTGTGGAAGGTTGTGGCCTCGGCAAAGTTGCCCAGCAGGTAATGGGTGTTGCCCAGGTTGCCGTAGGCCCGGCCCTGGGCTGCGCGGTCGCCGAGCTCCTTCACCAGCGAGAGGTTCTTCCTGCGGACCGAGGCTGTCTGAGCTGAGTCCCCTCCAGCCCCAGGGAAGGCTGGAGGGCTCTCTGAGCTCTGCCAGGGGGTGGCATGGGGACTGGGTGGCTGGGGCGGTGTCTTGGCTCCATCTGAGCTACAGGGCTGGGGGCCTGGCTGGGTCCTGCCAGTCCTGCCAGGGGTGGTGGACGGGGCTGAGGGGTGTGTCTAGGAAGTGTTCTGTGCCCTGCACCCTAGGAAGTGTTTGGGGAGCCCGGGACATGGGTGCCAGCCACACTCACTCGTAGAACTCGGAGGCCCTGTGCAGGGTCTCGTGCACGTCGGGCGGCAGGTGCCCGGGGTCCTGGGCGGTGGTCCAGGACAGCTGCTTGCCCTTGGCGTGGTACACATTGCCGATGTTGTAGAGCGCCCTTGCCTCCCCAACCTGCAAGCGGTGCCGAGGTGTGGGCTGGGCCCCCACAGCTCCCCACGGAGCCCACCCCAAGTGTACAGAGGCCCTGTGCCGGCCCGCAGGCCCGCTCGTGGCTCCGGACCCTCTGGAAGGGATGCAAGACAGCCTGGGGTCCTCTCCTCTGGTCAGGACAAGACCTGACCAGGCCTGGGCGCTAATGCCCGAGGGGGAGAGCCCAGTGTAGGGGCGCCTGCCAGCTGCACATGCGTGACCTCCCACCTGCCCACGGGCAGCACAGATGCTCAGCCACACGGTACGGAGGGAAAGCGGCGCAGGCCGGACTCGTGGCAGGAGGTGGGGCCGGCCTACAGCTGCTCTAGCCCGGTCTATTCCGTAGCTTGGAGGAGCCCTCCCAGCCCTGCCTCCCATCTCCTCCTGGACCCCCAAAGGAGTGCTGGGTGTTGGACAAGCTGGGGGAGCTGGGCAGAGGGGAAGCTGGGAGGGGCCGTGGCTGGGGAGCCGCGTGAGCTAAGGGGCCCCGTCTCCGAGGGACCGTGCACCTTCACAGTCATCGGGGGTCTTCCTTCCTGTGGGGGAAGGCTGAGTGGTATGGCATCCCTGCCTGGTCTCAGCCTGGGCACGAGCCAGAGAGCAGAGCAGGGGGACGATGATGCCGTGGGGCCCGGTCACCTACCTTGTCGCCCCGTTCCTGGGCAATGTCCAGGTGGCGCTGGCAGCAGACCACAGCCTCATCAAATCGGCCCAGGACCTTGAGCGTGTTACCCAGGTTCCCGCTGGCCTTGGCCTCCCCCATGCGGTCCCCAATGGTCCTAGAAGGCAGGAGGGAGTGAGGAGCCAGGCGGAGGACGGGCTAGGCCCTGAGCCCAGCAGGGCCTGGCCCGGGGAGGTGCAGGAGCGTGGTGCCGGGCAGGGGAGGCTCTGAGCACAGCCCTGCTGCCCACCCAGCAGGGACCTGGCCAGGCCCCACGCAGCTATCAGGACCCGGGGAAAGCCGGGGTGGGGTTGGCGGTGGAGGGATAAGTAGTGGACATTCACTCAGGCTGCTGACGTTATATCTGGACTGAGGGCTGAGGCTGAGGGCAGGGTATGGGGTTCCTTGGGGTAGGAGGCCAGTGTGGACATCACCCCACTTAGGAGATCAGAAGAGGGGGAGAGCTGTTGGTGATGCAAAGGAGGGGACCCAACAGGACCCTGCAGAGCAGAGGCCCGGGACAAGACTGGACACTTTGGAGTAAGGGAGAAGGGTGGCAAGGGGCAGAGGCGGGAAGTGGTAAGCCTGCAGAGCATGGGGTTCGCAGGGAGACCAGGGACTCTAGGGACAGGGCCACATGTGAGAGCAGGCAGCAAGGAGTGAGCTTAGAGCCCCAACACCAGGAGCAACACTTCTGGGTGGTGCCCGAGGTTGCACCTAAGTAGACGCAGAGTTGCGTGTGAGTGACCCCACACAGGGTGCACACAGGGTGCACACAGGATGCACACAGGATGCACACAGGACACATGCAGGATGCACACAGGATGCACGCAGGATGCACACAGGATGCACACAGGATGCACGCAGGACGCACACAGGATGCACGCAGGATGCACGCAGGACGCACACAGGATGCACACAGGACATACGCAGAATGTACACAGGACGCACGCAGGATGCACACAGGACGCGCACAGGATGCACACAGGGTGCACACAGGATGCACGCAGGATGCACACAGGGTACACACAGGATGCACACAGGACACATGCAGGATGCACACAGGATGCACACAGGATATACGCAGGATATACGCAGGATGCACACAGGGTGCACGCAGGACGCACATAGGGTGCACACAGGACGCACGCAGAATTCACACAGGACATATGCAGAATGCACACAGGATGCACACAGGACACATGCAGGACGCACACAGGATGCACGCAGGATGCACACAGGGTGCACGCAGGACGCACACAGGGTGCACACAGGATGCACGCAGGGTGCACGCAGGATGCACGCAGGATGCACACAGGATGCACACAGGACACATGCAGGATGCACACAGGACATACGCAGAATGAACACAGGACGCACACAGGATGCACACAGGACGCACACAGGATATACGCAGGATGCACACAGGATGCACGCAGGATGCACACAGACATATGCAGAATGCACACAGGATGCACACAGGATGCACGCAGGATGCACACAGGACATACGCAGAATGTACACAGGATGCACACAGGACGCACACAGGATGCACACAGGATGCACACAGGATGCATGCAGGATGCACGCAGGATGCACACAGGGTGCACACAGGATGCACACAGGACACATGCAGGATGCACACAGGATGCACACAGGATACATGTGGGACACGCACAGGACGCACACAGGACATATGCAGGATATACGCAGGATGCACACAGGATGCACGCAGGATGCACGTGGGACACGCACAGGACGCGCACAGGACATATGCAGAATGTACACAGGACGCACACAGGACATACGCAGAATGTACACAGGACGCACACAGGATGTACCCAGGATGCACGCAGGATACACCCAGGATGCACGTGGGACACACGCAGGGACAGACTTCTCTCAGGACCACCCCTGGAGTGCTTACCGTGCCAGCAGCAGGTCATGCTTGTGGAACTGCAGGGCACGGGCATACTCCTTCAGGTAGAAGTAGGCATTGCCCAGCTGGCTGTAGATGGCACTCAGCGTCTTCAGGTCCTCTGTGCCCACCTGCACGGCGGCCTCAAAGAAGGCCACGCCCGCCTTGAAGTCACCAGCCTTGCACAGCCGCTCGCCCTCCAGCGCCAGTTCCAGGCACGAGGCTTCCATCCTGGGCAGAGGCAGAGGTGTCACAGCCCGCCCCTCCCTCGGGGGCCGGGCCCCCTCGTGGACGGTCTCAGCAGGGCCTCAGTGGGCGGGGCTGCCCCACACGGGCACGTGTGTCTGCTGGGGAGTCACATCTGGGAGTAGGAGGCCCGACAGCATCCCAGGCTTGCACATCTGTGCAACTCTTTCTGCCCTGACCTCACTGCTTGTCTGCCAGAGTGAGGGCAGAGCCCAGAGCGCGTGAGTCTGGGCGGCAGGGAGAACCTTGTCCCGGGGGGCTGGTGCCCAAGCCAGCGGACAGAGCACGGCCTTCCCGCACCGAGGGGCCAGGTGCCCCTCCCCACGCACTCCCAGGGACCTGGCGTGGACCGATCCATGCTCTGCCTCCCGCCCCCATCACGCCTGATCCAAGCCTCCTCTCCCTCAGCCAGCCCCCGTGCTCCCAGGGAGGACTCTGCTGGGTCGAGGCTGCATCTGGGTTGAAGGTCCACAGCCTCCCTGGGTCAGGGTCTCACCTGCAGTGCAGGCTGCTGGCCAGGTCCAGCCTGAGAAACAGGGAGGAAGAGGACAGCACAGTGTCCCGGGATCTGTGTCCGGGGTGGACCTGGTCCCCGGGACGCTCACTGTTCCAGCTCCCTGCCCAGGAATCCCGCACGCATGCCCAATGCCACGTGCCCCTAGCTGGACACCGATGCTACTGCCAGAGAAGCCCCTCAGCCCGGGCCCTGTGCAGCCGCTGAGCGGAGGCCCCTGCTGGAGAAGGACTCCCGCAGCCAGGACTCCAGCGAGCTGCCCAGGGCACAGCAGTGGGGGCAGGACGGTGTGTGCAGGAGTCTCTGAGTGAGGTTACCCAGCCCTGCTCCAGCCTGCTGTAGAGCCCTGGGCTGGACACGGTGCCCTGGGATCCCTGGTCTCTGCCCCTCTCCGATCCTGTGGGCCTAGGCCAGAGCCTGTCCAGTCTTGGAGGGTTTGTGTGGGGTGGGGGTCTATGAGGTGGTGTGCTGACGGTGGGCGGGAGGGTTCGGGGCAGGGAGGCCAGGGGAGGGGACTGGGGACAGACCTGTCACCCAAGGGCACTGTGACCCCAGCCCCGGGACCTGACAAGGGGCTGAGCGGGACTATGAGGCCAGGCTAGCATGGCTGCTTTTGTTTTCTTTTTCTTGTGAGGCAGGGGCCTCCTTGTTGTGGTGCCCAGGCTCAAGTGAACCTCCCACCAGCCTCCCCAGAAGATGGGATTACAGGTGTGAATCACTGCACCAGCTTTTTTTATTTTTGTCTGTTGTCGGGCTTAAACTCCGGGCCTGGGCGCTGTCCCTCAGCTCTTCAGCTCAAGGTGAGTGCTCTACCACTTGAGCCACAGCGCCACTTCCGGTTTTCTGGTGGTTCATTGGAGATAAGAGTCTCACAGACTTTCCTGCCCTGGCTGGCTTTGAACCGTGATCCTCAGATCTCAGCCTCCTGAGTAGCTAGGATGACAGGCGTGAGCCACTGGTGCCTGGCCTTTCTATAGCTTTTTGTTCAGTTTGTGGAAAACCCACCGAGTAATTTTTTTTTTTTGGGTTTTGAGACAGGGATAGCTATGTAGCCCAGCCTGGCCCTGAACTGGTGACCCTCCTCTACCTCTGGGTGGAGCACTGGGATTGCAGGTCAGCACCATTATGCCCAGCTCCCAGCTGGCCCTTATGGGTTGTGAGGATTTGAGAGTAACCGTCAGAAGCGGGCACGGGTGAGCGTGGGACATCTGGGGCCATGTTCCTTGATCATGCCAGTCCAACACCCCTTCAATACCACCCACCCACACAGCTCGCTCCCGGAGCGCCTGTCAAAGTAGCTGGGCATTCTGAGCTCTCTGGAGCGCCGGTTCCGTGGGAGCGTGGGTGGGAGATGGGTCCTGGAGAGGCTGACCCGTGTCTGCTCCCACTCGGCTCAGAGCTGTCTTCTGGAGGTCCCACCCGCCCCATGCCCACACACCCACAGCCCTGCAGTCTGCAGAGCTGGGCCCAGTCTCAGTGCCCGGCCCCCTCCAAGGCCCTTCCGCCTCATGAGCCCCTTTCCCGGAAGCACCACCTCCACTCCCTGTGTCCCTTTGTTTGCTCAGAATCAGCCACAGTGGCCTGTGTCTATCCAGCCCTGGGGCCCTGTCTGCCTCCCACACAGGGGCTGTGGGAAGCAGGGGGAGGGGGGGCTGCCTCTCCTGAGGACACCAAGAACACTGTGGAGTGAGGCCCCATCAGCCGGGCCGATGGCTGACACGTGGCACTTTAGTGGCCTTGGCCAAACAATGTGAGATTCATTACAGCTCAGCATATGCAGGGAATCCCAGAAACAACCTGAACCTCACACTGGGCCCAGACTCGCGGTCCTGGGTGGGAGCGGCTCCTCATCCCGTGGTATCAGGGGGACATGGGGGGACTCGGATCCCCCACCTGCCTGCTTCCTCCGGGACAGCAGAGCCACTTGGCTAGGGGACAGGATGGTGGTTTTGAGACTAGAAGGCCAAACCACTGAGCTGCCTGCCCACCCCAGCACCCAAGACCTCCTGCCCACACCTGCCAGCTGGGGCAGTCCCTCATTGGACCCCTTGGAAGGGCTGCTGGAGCCGATTTGGCTACCAGGAGGGTCACTTGGTTACCAGTCACAAGACAACATCCCTGTCCACCTGCTGGTTTGATTACAGCTGTCCTTCCAGGTGACTGTGGAGGACAGGCAGCCTGGCCTGTGACACTCCATCTGCCAGCCAGGCCCCACACCACCAGACCCCTCACCACCAGACCCCTCACCACCAGACCCCTCACCACCAGACCCCACACCACCAGACCCCACACCATGACCCCTCACCACCAGACCCCTCACCAGCAGACCCCATACCACCAGACCCCTCACCACCACACCCCTCACCACCAGACCCCTCACCACCAGACCCCTCACCACCAGACCCCACACCATGACCCCACACCACCAGACCCCTCACCACCAGACCCCACACCACCAGACCCCACACCACCAGACCCCTCACCACCAGACCCCACACCACCAGACCCCACACCACCAGACCCCACACCACCAGACCCCTCACCACCAGACCCCACACCACCAGACCCCTCACCACCAGACCCCTCACCACCAGACCCCTCACCACCAGACCCCTCACCACCAGCTCACACCACCAGACCCCTCACCACCAGACCCCACACCACCAGACCCCTCACCACCAGACCCCACACCACCAGACCCCTCACCACCAGCTCACACCACCAGACACCACACCACCAGACCCCACACCACCAGACCCCACACCACCAGACCCCACACCACCAGACCCCTCACCACCAGACCCCACACCACCAGACCCCACACCACCAGACCCCTCACCACCAGACCCCACACCACCAGACCCCTCACCACCAGACACCACACCACCAGACCCCTCACCACCAGACCCCACACCACCAGACCCCTCACCACCAGACCCCACACCACAAGACCCCTCACCACCAGACCCCACACCACCAGACCCCACACCACCAGACCCCACACCACCAGACCCCACACCACCAGCTCACACCACCAGACCCCTCACCACCAGACCCCTCACCACCAGACCCCTCACCACCAGACCCCACACCACCAGACCCCTCACCACCAGACCCCACACCACCAGACCCCACACCACCAGACCCCACACCACCAGACCCCTCACCACCAGACCCCACACCACCAGACCCCACACCACCAGCTCACACCACCAGACCCCTCACCACCAGACCCCTCACCACCAGACCCCTCACCACCAGACCCCACACCACCAGACCCCTCACCACCAGACCCCTCACCACCAGACCCCACACCACCAGACCCCTCACCACCAGACCCCACACCACCAGCTCACACCACCAGACACCACACCACCAGACCCCACACCACCAGCTCACACCACCAGACCCCTCACCACCAGACCCCTCACCACCAGACCCCTCACCACCAGACCCCTCACCACCAGACCCCTCACCACCAGACCCCACACCACTAGACCCCACACCATGACCCCTCAAAACCAGACCCCACACCACCAGACCCCACACCACCAGACCCCACACCACCAGACCCCTCACCACCAGACCCCTCACCACCAGACCTCACATCACCAGACCCCTCACCACCAGACCCCTCACCACCAGACCCCACACCATGACCCCTCACCACCAGACCCCTCACCACCAGACCCCACACCACCAGCTCACACCACCAGACCCCACACCACCAGCTCACACCACCAGACCCCACACCACCAGACCCCACACCACCAGACACCACACCACCAGACCCCTCACCACCAGACCCCTCACCACCAGACCCCACACCACCAGACCCCACACCACCAGACCCCACACCACCAGACCCCACACCACCAGCTCACACCACCAGACCCCACACCACCAGACCCCTCACCACCAGACCCCACACCACCAGACCCCACACCACCAGACCCCACACCACCAGACCCCTCACCACCAGACCCCACACCACCAGACCCCACACCACCAGACCCCACACCACCAGACCCCTCACCACCAGCTCACACCACCAGACCCCACACCACCAGACCCCACACCACCAGACCCCACACCACCAGCTCACACCACCAGACCCCACACCACCAGACCCCACACCACCAGACCCCTCACCACCAGACCCCTCACCACCAGACACCACACCACCAGACCCCTCACCACCAGACCCCACACCACCAGACCCCTCACCACCAGCTCACACCACCAGACCCCACACCACCAGACCCCACACCACCAGACCCCACACCACCAGACCCCACACCACCAGACCCCACACCACCAGCTCACACCACCAGACCCCTCACCACCAGACCCCTCACCACCAGACCCCTCACCACCAGACCCCACACCACCAGACCCCTCACCACCAGACCCCACACCACCAGACCCCACACCACCAGACCCCACACCACCAGACCCCTCACCACCAGAC